TGAATTTAATTTAAAATTCATCATCAAAAGCTATTGTCTTGAAAATATTTTAGCCTATTTAAATGAACAAAGAAAATTTAAAGGGATGAAAATATTTTGTTCTATATTTGCAATGCATAAGATTTTTGTGGATACTTACTTTTCTTTCTTTTGTTTCAGATTTATCATCCATCATGTTACGAAGATTATCAAAATGGAAGTTGATTTTTGGCTACTGTATTCTTTACTACGTTAACAAATTTTGCTTCTAAGCTTTTTTTTTTGTCAAGGTAGTATTATTTTAAGCTTACTGTTTTCATATAGCAGCTAAAGTATGCATTAAATACTGCCACTAAATGGTAGGATCTAAATAGGTATCTTTGGCATCTTAAGTTATTGAATGCTGAATGGATCACATTGACTAAAGAATTTTTCTTTAAGCAGCAGCCTGACAGATTATTTCTATCATTAAGAAACTAGTTTCTAGAATATTTAGTTTGCTTGTGGAGCTATTAAATCCTAAGTATTTGAAACAATAACAGGATTTGAAACGATGAGTTATAAAGACTACAGATTATATGTAGGGGACCATGGATATGGTAGAGTAAGGCAATGCCTGATCAACTTCTTTTGGCTTCCTTATGCTGCTTTTTAAAAGCATGAATTGCTGAGCGTGCATTAAAATGTTCATATATATATACGTTATGTAAGCTATTGAGTTATAATCGTCATTGATTTGGAAGCAACGCATAGCTAACTTTCTATTCGGTTTTCAAGGCCGGAAATTGCATAGGAGACTGCTTTTCTTTCTGGGAGCTACTGGTGCATTTGAACTGCCAGAGAGGTTCTTTTGGGTTAGTAGCTCCCTATAGACTAGGCCACCAGAACTATTCTGTGGCATACTGGACCATTTAATTGCTGTTGGTGTATGTATGTTTCCTTTTCCTCACAAAAAAGGCTCTATTTTTTTTTTTAAAAGTCTCTTTGTGAGTATTTACAGGGCTTTTTTTTTTAAAAGTCTCTTTGTGAGTACTTATAGGGCTTTTTCCTTTTGCAGACATCTTCATTTGATTGTACACCATCTCCTAGCAAGACACCAGTTGAAAACCCTTTGAACATTATGTTGAACATTGTCAAAAGGGAATTGCAGGAACCCTGTGAAAGCCCTCAAGTCAAGGAAGAACAAAGTGATACTCCACCAGCTTGTACAGAAGAAAGCATAGCCACACCCACTGAAATTAAAACAGAAAATGACACAGTTGCGTCAGTTTAAATAAAATGAGAAAGGTGTGGTTTTCTTTTTCACAAAGAAGGTGAAGAATTTTCTATGTATATATAGACATA